AAAGAACGGCGTATCAACCATAACATTCTGAAACCCCTACTAGCGGCCTTCTTCCAGTTGTCACCAGAATGCAAAGACGAGGAATGAACGACACCTAGGTCTATCTGGTTGGAGACAAGGGGGAGTTCGACCCCACCGAGTACGTAGCTCGTAGGCGGGAAAGTTGCTCCTATACGAAGGACGGAACACTTAGCCTGATTTATGGGCAGTAGCCACAAAGTAGACCAGTCCCAGAGTCTGTCCAGTGCATGCTGTATGGCCTCAGAACCCCCAGGAACATTTACAACATTCCATAGCTTAAGGTCATCAACAAACAATAGGGATGATACCCCAAGCTCTCCAGGGAGATCGTTTACGTAGATGGAGAACAGCATCGGTTCAAGGACCGAGCCCTGTGGGACACCGCTAAGGACCGCTTGCTTAAAGGATAAGCTGCGACCCACACGTACACACTGCTCTCTTCCCTGCAAAAACGCAGATACCCAGTGAAGGGCGCGGCCAGATACGCCGCAGGACCTCAGCTTATGTGATAGCCTCAAGTGGGGTACCTTATCAAATGCTTTCGAGAAGTCTACGAAAAGCACATCCACCACATGGCCATTGTCCACTGCCTCGGCCCAAGCTTCACGAGCAACCAACAAATTCGTCAAACACGAAAATCCCTTCCGGAATCCATGTTGTGCACTACTGAGCAGATTAAATCTATTCAGGTGACATTCCAACGAATCTCTCACCAGCTTTTCAAGCAGTTTGACCACGACGCTAGTCAGACTAACTGGCCTATAATTGGCTGACAGACTCCTGTCGCCATTTTTGAAGATAGGACAGATGACAGCCTCCTTCCATTCAGAAGGTAATGTACAGGTGTCAAGTGATTTCCGAAACACCATCGTCAGCGGTCCACTTAGTTCCCCCGCCAACTCATGCAGAAGTTTCGGGTGAATTGAATCAGGTCCAGCTGCTTTGGAAGGGTTCAGTTCTTGCAGCAGTTTAAGGACTTGCATTTCCACCACAGTAAACTCAGCTAAATAAGAACCATCAGGTACTCTGGGGACAAGTTCAACGCTAGTCAACGCGACCTCACGTACAAAAGCCCCTGCATACTGTTCCCCAAGTACACGAGCCTTATCTGAGTCCGCATACGCACGAGTTCCATCGGCGCTCATCAAAGTTGGGATTACCGAAGTTGAACCACAGCGTCTCTTAACATAAGCGAAGAACTTCTTCGGATTTTCCGAAGCTCCGTCAGCCAATTCCTTTTTGTACACCAGCCGAGCTTTCCTTAAGTGTTGTTTACACCTATTTCTAGCCTCGCGGTACCTAGCATAGGTGCTAGTTGATGGAGCCGCACGGTAGGTCCTCCAGCACCTAGAACGCTTCTGGAGCAGGTGCTTGCCAGTGGTATCTATCTATCTTCGTACTTCGATTTTCTTTTCTCTACTTTTCTTCACGCATTGGTATTATTTTCTTATTTAAGTGCACTTCCCTATTATGTACCTTCGATTTCTCTTCCTATCCTTTGCTTACTTCACGTGAGTGCCACAGCAGGGACTGCTAGGGCAGGAAACGTGGGCATTAAATGGTTGGCCAGGGTGCGATACGGGTGTTTCCGTTTTACATCCATTAATAACTGAGCACTTCATCAATTCCTGGCTCAACGATCCACTCAAGATGGAACACTCACGGGTTTTCCTATCGTTCCAGTCCCCATCTGAACTGAACTGAACTGAAAATTCACACCGAGTGCCTTGCCACTAGTGGCCAGCCATATCATTGGAAGGTCGCTCTGGTTAGAAGTTCGCTCCGGGTATTCTCCTTTACCGGTTCCTCCATATAATTGGTGACCCCACATTTTTATTCATTTTTGTGTATACTTTTTCTTCACAATGTCTGATCACGCGTTCGCCAGTAATGCGTCGGAACATTGCTTTGGACTCGTTTTACCTTCATTTGACGTTTCTAACCCACGCCTTTGGTTCGTTCAAGTAGAAGCTGCTTTCCATTTTCGTAAGATTACATCCCGGCCTACAATGTTTCCTATGTGACTGCTCACTTACCGTCCAACATCGTGTCTAAGGTCATCAACGTTCTTGATCCTATGCCCCTAGAGTCCCTCTATGATAAACTTAAGGCAGCCATACTAAAGCGCACTACAGCCTCATGAGGCTGCAGATGAGACACGCCTTCAGCAGTAACTCGCTGGCGTTGAGCTTGCAGATAGAACGCCGTCTCAGTTACTTCGACACATGCGTTCCCTCGTCGGTTCTTCCATACTGGATGATTCCGTTCTCCGCCAATTGTGGAGTAATTGTCTTCCGGCGAATAGCACGGCTATTTTAGCTGTTCTCGCCGATAATCTTCCGCTAGACAAACTGACAGAAGCTGCCGGTAAAGTTCACGAACGTTTCATTAAAGCGTCGGTATACCTTGTCACTAAGTCTAGCTCAGGCAGCCTCTACGGAACCACGCTACTTGATACAATCAACGAGAAATTTCTAATTTAGAACTCACCTTGTCCCACCTCAGACGCGACCGCGTTCCTTCGCGACGATCCATTTCTCGATCTAGACGTTCTAGCAACTTTCGTACACGACAGTCGCACCGCTGTTGTTATTATCACCACCGCTTCGAAGACGCAGCGCGTAAGTGCCGTCCAGGGTGTAAACACCCTAAAACCTTGTCAACTCCTACGTCGGGAAACCACATGACCAGCCAGTAATGGCGGCGGCTGTCGCTGGCCTGGTTACTAGTCGCCTGTGGTACGTATTTGACTCCACAACCAAAGTCCATTTCCTGATTGATACCGATGCAGAAGTCAGCGTTCTCCCCCTTTCTCTGGAAAAACGCCCCCTGCAACCAGTTGGTCCAATGCTTACGGTAGCTAATCAGACTAAAATCGTTACCTACGGTCAGAAATTACTTACTTTGAGTCTCAGACTACGGCGGCACTTCCCTTTCATGTTTACCATCGCCGATGTTCAAAAGCCCATCATCGGAATCGACTTCCTCAGCAATTTCGATCTTGTGGTTGACGTACGTTGTGAGAAATTACGAGACGATACTACGTCTTTAAGCATACCCTGCAAACTTGCTTCAGTCAATTCTTTCGGGCTTCGCATCTTCATACCTGACAACTCACAGTAATGTTCATTGCTCCGACAATTCACGTCCCTAATTCTAGGAATTAACGGTACTTTCGACCCTAAACACGATGTATGCCATCCCGTCGTTACAGTCGGTCCGCCAGTAACTTAAAGCTCGACGCTTGCGCCCTGACAAACTTCAAGCAGCTAAAAAGAAATTTCAACACATGCTTGATCTCGGCATTGTTCGTCCTTCAAAAAGCTGCTGGGCATCACCTCTTCATCTGGTGTCTAAAAAGTCAGGCGATTGGCGACCATGCGGTGGCTACTGTGTTCTCAACAACGTCACTGTTCCGGATAAGTATCAAGTTCAAGTGAGACGAACGATAGGATGAATCCCGTAAGCGTTCCTTCTTGAGTGGGTCGTCGATCCAGAAGTTGATAGGGGTGCTCCGACTTCTTGATGGGTCTAAAAGGAAAACACCCGAAAATCACCCTGGTCCACCAATTTAATGCCCGCGTTCCTTACGTTAGCTGAAGTAAGTAAGAGAGGAAGAAAAAGCGAAGGTAAGAGAGTAGGGGAAATCAGTTAAAAGAAGAGAATAATACCGATGGCGAGGAAAAGTAAAGAAAATGGACTCGATGTATGAAGATGGGAATTGTAGCAGTCTGGAGATTCCCCGGTTTGCCTGTGTAAAATTCTAACTGTCGACTTTGCTAAAGATAGACTTGCCAGCTTGAGCTGAGGTCAAGTCGTGCATGTGCGGAATGGGGTATCTATCCGGGACGATGACTTTGTTAAGTGCCCTGTAGTCACCACAGGGTCGCCAGTCACCGGATTTCTTCGGTACCATGTGTAATGGTGGTGCCCATGGACTTTTGGACGGGCGGATTATTCCCTGTTATCTAGCTATAAAAGAACGACACCGTGGACGCTCTAGCTAGGGGAACGGAGCAAGCACAGCACACAGGGCAGTTGCGAGTTGCAACCGAAACGAGCGCCAAGCAAAAATGGCGATGAGCAAGTCAAGCATTCGAACTCAGCAATCAGTTCAATAAACCACACCGGTTGCCTAAGTGTACAATGAAATAATTTTAGTTAGAATTTTACACAGGCAAACCGGGGAATCTCCAGACTGCTACAGAGCGTCTAGTTGACGCTCAAACCCCATTAACCGTAGCTTTCTTGACAACAATTTCTGGAAGCAGGTTCCAGCGCTCGATGACTCGTCGCGATAACCGTGTCTCCGCTCTAACTCGATCGGATCGCGGTTTGTCCAGCTTCATACAATGCCCGCGAAGACCAAATAATCTCGCAGGACTAAATAGCCAGGGCAAATCAGGGCCAACCTTCCCAGTCAAAATACGGTAGGTTAGGATTAGGTCCCCTCTAATCCTTCGATAATGCATTGACTGCATCCCCAAACTAAGTAGGCGTTCGGGGTACGCTTGCCCCTGTAACCCCTCGACCAATCTAGTACCGACACGCAACACCCTTTCTAGTGCCATTTTGTCCCGGACAAGGCATGGTGGACAGGGCTGGACGCAATATTCTAGGTGGGGTCGCACAAACGCCGAGAAGAGCTTCACAAACACATTACGGTCCCGAAAGAACGACGGATAAACCACAACATCCGGAACCCTATACTAGCCGCATGCTTTCAGTTGTCTGCAGTGTAGTGTGGAATAGTGGACCACACCTAGATCATGGTGAGTCACGTGAGGAAGTTCACTCCCATCGAGCACAACTTGTGGAGGAAGCAGGCGCTCCGATATGCAGCACTGAACACTTTACCCGGTTTATGGTCAACAACCACAAGACAGACCATTCCCAGAGTCTATCCAGAGCCCGTTGAAGAGCCACAGGACCTCCAGGGAAATCAACGATATTCCAGAGCTTTAGGTCATCAGCAAATAAGAGCGATGGTACCTCAAGCTCCTCCGGCAAGTCATTCACGTACTGAGAAAAGCAGCGGACCTAGGACAGAGCCTTGCGGAACGCCGCTAAGTACAGCTTGTCGAAACGAAAGACTTTCCCACACGAATACACTGTTCCCGTCCATCCATTGGAGAGCGTGACCAGCTATTCCACACGACCTCAACTTCAGTGAGAGTCGCGAATGGGGGACAGTGTCAAAGGCCTTGGCAAGTCAATGAACAACACCGCATGTCCACTGTCTACGGCTTCAGCCCAGCACTCACAAGGTACCATAAAGTTCGTCTGACACGAAAATCCTTTGCGAAAACCATGTTGCTCGACGCTAAGCAGGTTAAACCTATTTAAATGGTCCTCTACTGTATCTCGTACTAATCTTTCAAGTAACTTAACGACCACGCTAATCAAGCTAACAGGCCTGTACTTAGCCAGTAGGTCTGTCACCGCACTTGAAAATCGGACAGACAACAGCCTCCTTCCATTCGGTAGACAAGATACAGCTGTTGAGTGACTTCTGAAACACACAAGTCAGAGGTCCACTGAGTTCCACTGCCAATTCGTGCAACAATTTTGGGTGAACAGAATCTGGCCCGGAAGCCTTAGTTGGGTTTACCTCTCTTAGCAACCGGAGAACTTGGGACTCAGTTACAGGAATTTCATCCAGACAACAGTCCTCAGAGACTCTTGAAGCTAACTCTTTGCATGGCGTATTTGTTTCGCGGACAAAGACGCTTGAGTACTGCTTACCAAGCACGTATGCCTTGTCATAGTCGCTATAGGCATGGGTCCCATCTCCTCGAAGCAATGGTGGTATGGGCGAGTTTGCACCACAGCGTCGTTTAATGTAAGCGAAGAATTTCTTGGGATTTTTCGAGGCAGTATTAGCTAAGCCCTTTTCATACTGAAGCCGGGCCGACCTAAGATGTAGCTTGCACTCATTTCGAACCAACCGATACTTGTCAAACGTACTGTTCGACGGAGCTGTTCGGTAAGCTCACCAGCATCTAGACCGCTTCTTTAGCAGGCCCTTCCCCGCGGAATCTGTCCACGGAGGTTGCGCTCTCGATTCCCTTCTTTTTACCAGTGGGATGTGAGGTGCAGAAAGGTCGACGAGGTGAGCCTTAGGTTTTTCCCAAGCTATGGGAACAGTGTTGGTCTCAGATATCACACAAGGCGATGACCTAGCTTTATTCCGCATCGCTTGGAAGTACGCGGCCCAAATGTTCGGATACCAACTGGTAGTAGCTTGGCAAGGCCTGATAAGAGTACACTGGAAAGGCAAGCAAACGTGATCGCTAGCGCCAAGAGGCGGGTCGTATTTAATGTCATTTACAAAGTCAATTGACTTAGCAAAAACAAGATCTAAAATGCACAGTTGCTGATTTCTCATGTACCTAGTGGGGAGGTCCACGAACTGGTGTAGTGGTACTAGCAGCGTTAAGTCCAGCACTTCTGTACCGAAGGATTCCAGAGCCGAACTGCAAGATAAATCATCCCAACAAACCTCTGGGAGGTTGAAGTCTCCCAGCACCAGACACTTGTTCGCAGAGTGAGTGCGTATAAACTCAACGATTCCATTGGAGGTGGTCATAGGGCTTCTATACACTAACACGGCTTTAACCTGAACCGAGGAAGTGCAAATCAAGACTGCGAGAGCGTCAACAGATTTGTCGAGAGACTGGTAAACGCTGATCCTCAATACGTCGATGTGATAACTCACATAAAGTGCTACGCCACCCCATTGACGGCCAATGGAGCGGTCAGCGCGGAACAGTGCGTAGCCAGGCATATATACTTCACCATCCGGGATTTCCTCAGACAGCCACGTTTCAGTGAAAGCAAGTATATTTGGACGAGATTTGTCTACGAGCATACCCACCTCGCACATCTTGTTCGTCAGGCTACGCACGTTACTACGTACTACTTGGAGAGCTTCGGTATGACCAGCCCTGGGTCGTGCGCAAGTAGAGTAGGTTTTTGCATGGCGGAAAAGGACCGCCGACTGACCACCTGAAAACCCACCAATCGGAGACCTTGCTGGTCAGCTGACGCCGGGTTTTTAGGTCTCTGATGGCTTCCTTTAACTTTAACCTATCCGCTAACGGAAGGTCTGGTTGCACACTAACGTTGGTACCTTTGAGCTTGAGGGCAAATCTCAGTAAGGCCATGCGCTCTTCTGGGGTGGAGAGCACCATCCTAAGCAGACGGGGTCGAGGATTTTGGTGACCAACCGGAAAGTTCCCTAATCTGATGAGATTTCTAACAGTAACGCCAGGGAAACCTGGTGGTAAAAGCCTGGTCACGCAAACTTTAAGCCAACCAAGATCATCAAGCATGCGCTCGGTGGGAAGAGCGGCAGTGGATTCACTGACGTTTCTGAAAATCACACTGCTATCTGTGTAAGAATCGCCTCGACGAGGTGTATTTACACCACATGCTCTACCATCCACGCCACATGGTTGTTTGACAGGAATCGGTGGGACCGAAGGCGATGGCACCTCTTGTCTCACTGAGGGAATTGCAGCACCAGGTGGTGTTTCCAACTCAAGCGCTTGTTTCTTGAGCATTTTATCACCTTCCGGTTTGGGGGCGGAGGTTTTGCGCGCTTTCCTTGCCTTATTCCTTGCTTATTCTTCAATGGCCCAAGAGCCCGTGACTCGCCTTCCATTTAGGGCGGGTCAACAATGCCGTCCGACGCATCTGTGTCAGTTATATCCACGTGAACTGGAGCGTCCGGTAGGATGAACGCCTCGTCAACGGGTGGACTGTCAGCAGAAGGACAGTCCGTTACGGCGTCCACATTCGCAATATTCAGGGATTTCATAATCAAATCCACTTTAGAGTTGAGCGAGGCAAGAGAGGCAAGCTCGGTTAATGCCTTCTCAACAACTGTGAATCTGGATGCTAGTGCTTTGAATTCAGCACAGGTGAAAGCCGGGAGCTTCGCTTTCTGAGCGCAGCAATCAGCACATCTAAACAGAAGGTTTTCACTGGATGATAGCATATTGTACTGATTCGCTCGGAGGCCGGTACAACTTTTGTGATACCAACAAGAGCAAGCATCACACTGCACACTGCATATCCACGATTTTTCTCTTGGACTAGCCGGAAAGTCAATCTTTACCAAACTCGACCTAGTCAGAGCTTACCATCAAATCCCAATGGCGGAGGAAGACATCGCAAAAACTGCTGTGATCACTCCATTTGGCTTTTACGAATTTCTTTGTATACCTTTCGGCCTCCGAAACGCAGCACAGTCTTCCCAACGCTTTATGGATCAGGTCTTCCGTGGCCTTGATTTCGTCTACGTCTACATTGACGATGTCCTGATTGCAAGCGCCACACCCGACGAGCATTTATCACACCTCCGAATGGTTTTCGAACACTTTGAAAGCCACGATGTAACCATCAACCAGGACAAATGCAAATTTGGTTAGCCCACCGTCGAAATTCTCGGTCACAAGCTCGATGGTGAAGGTATTAAACCTCTCTCGGATAAACCCCAAGCGATCCTCGATTATCCGATGCCTCAATCTGTCCGAAGCCTACGCTGATTTCTCGGTATGATCAACTACTACGGCAGATTCATTCCCAACTGTGCTGATTTACTTCATCCGCTTACCGACTTACTGAAAGGGAACTCAACGACGTTAAAGATAACCCCAGAAGTTGAAGCCGCTTTCACGGCCGTCAAGCAGAAGTTTAGTGGTCACCTCCATCACTTGAATACCACTGAGGACGCTACACTTGTCCTTAAGACGGATGCTTCAAGTTCCGCTGTCGGTGCAGTTTTGCAACAATTAGTTGATAACGTATTTCAACCACTGTCCATTTTCTCACGGAAGGTACAACCTGCTTAGGTCAGGTACAGCACCTTTGGTCGTGAACTGCTCGCCATGTACCTGGCTGTGAAACATTTCCATCACCTTTTAGAAGAACGTCGTTTTATACTCTTGACAGATCACAAGCCACTGGTGTACGCTTTTCGGACCGTTACTCACCCCGAGAAACGCGTCATCTGGACTATCTTTCGCCATTTTGTGTTGATATATATATATATATATATATATATATATATATATATTATATCGACGATCCTAACAACGCTGTTCTCGATGCGTTATCCCGCGCGCATATGAATCAATTGCCATCAACACCCATCGACCTGGAGAGAATAGCGGCCGCTCAAAACAATGATCCTGAGCTTGTCCAACTTCGATCAAACCCCCAATATAAAGTCACACAATTGCCCATACTTAACTCTGACATAAGAGTTTACTGTGACCTTTCAACCGGTAAGCCTAGACCCTTTGTCTCACGATCATTTCCTCGAGCCATTTTGATCATTTTCATGGTCTTTCACACCCAAGTATCCGCTCCACCGTAAAGCTCATTACCGACCGCTTCCTTTGGCACAATATGCATTCAGACATTAGACATTGGGCTAAACATTTTCTTAGTTGCCAAACCAGTAAAGTTCATCGTCTCACAGTCACTACCCCAGGTATATTTTCGCTCCGACACACATTTTAGATACGCTCACGTAGATATTGTTGGCCCTTTACCTCCTTCCAACGGTTTAACTCATCTTCTAACATGTGTTGACCGTTGTACCCGTTGGCCACAAGCTGTTCCTTTACGTGAAACATCTACCGAATCGGTTTCCCGTGCTTTTGTCGAATCCTGGATCTCTGTGTTTGGTGTTTCATCCACCATCACTACCGACAGAGGGACTCAGTTCAGTTCCACACTGTTCCGTGATCTGAGTCGTTTATTAGGTTGTACCCACATAAGAACAACCGCGTACCACGCCGCTGCCAATGGCCTCGTCGAGCGCTTACATCGACAATTAAAAGCTGTTATCATGGCTAGTTCATCCGACTCACGCTGGTCTGAGCGTCTACCTGCGATCCTCCTTGGCGTATGCAATACAATCAAAGAGGACATTGGGTGCTGCCCTGCAGAACTCATGTTCGAGATGACCCTCAGACTACTGGTGAGATGATACTGGACTCTCGCACCACCGGCGAACTAGACCCCTTCTCGTACGCTGAACGCCTCAAACAGCATTTTCGATCCATTCGGCCGTTTGCGCGGCCTAACTTATGTAAACAGCAAATCCACCCCGACTTTCACAAGTGTCCGTTTGTTTTCATCCGCATCGACGCCGTCCGAAGACCTTTAATCCGTACCAGGTGTTATCACGGAAAGTCAAGTATTTCGTGTTGAATAAGAATGGATCGAAAGAATCCGTGAGCATCTACCGACTCAAACCAGCTTACGTTGAACCTACAGTCGATAGTACAGACCCCGTTTCCTCCTCTCAGAATACTCCCGCCCCTGACTCATTACCCTCTACCCAACAACACACTGACGCCAGTACACCGAGTCTTCTATGCACTCCGACTTCACGCAGCTCCATACGCACGTTCTGGTCGTGTTGTTTCCCTTCCACATATGCTTGCTCAGTACGTTCCTTAGGCACCGTTTCCAGCGTTCCCTTAGTGCACGCTCTATGGGGGAGTAGTTCAAGTTCAAGTGGGACTGGAACGATAGGATGAATCCCGTAAGTGTTCCTTCTTGAGTGGGTCGTCGATCCAGGAGTGGATAGGGGTGCTCCGACTTCTTGATGCGTCTAAAAGGAAAACACCCGAAAAACAACCTGGTCCACCAATTTAATGCCCGCGTTCCTTACGTTAGCTGTCCCTGTTATGTCAGTTAGGTGAAGTAAGTAAGAGAGGAAGAAAAAGCGAAGGTAAGAGAGTAGGGGAAATCAGTTAAAAGAAAAGAATAATAACGATAGCGAGGAAAAGTAAAGAAAATGGACTCGATGTATGAAGATGGGAATTAATCAGGAAAAAGGAAAGGCTTCGTGTTGCCACCCACGAGCGTCTAGTTGACGTTCAAACCCCTTAACCGTAGCTTCCTTGACAACAATTTCCGGAAGCAGGTTCCAGCGCTCGATGACTCATCGCGATAACTGTGTCTCCGCTCTAACTCAATCGGACCCGTAAATCTTGTTAAATGCTCTGTTCTCCCCGTTGGCTCATCTAACCCACTTGGGACTTAGCACATTGGTGGTTCCTTGCTCAGAAGCGCAACCCAAGAGAGGGATCTTGGAGTGATAGTGTCATCAGATCTCAAATCTATTCAAGACACTCTGAAGAGGGTCGCCGCGGCCTACAGGATGTTCCATTCCCTACCTAGAGGCTTTTCTGTCACGGTTCCGGGGCTTTTCCGACTACTCTTTGACTCGTATGTACGCCCGATTCTCGAATACGGGCTACCCGCTGCCTATCCTCTCACCAAATCCGATTGTGATATGATAGAGTAGGTTCAATGGCGTGGATCCAAATCCGCCCCTGAGTTGCGAGACCTGTCGTATCCACTCCGACTTCAACGACTGAACTTGTTCTCTCTAGGTTACCACCGTCACCGCGGAGATTTGATATTCACCCGACGTATTCTCAGAGGAGAACTGGGTTGGGAGTTACATGGCTTCTTTCAACTCAACACTGAGCGTTCGACATGTGTCCATTGCTTGAAACTGTTCAAACCGAGGAATCTCCGTGTGCGGCTCAATCTGGCCTTATGAATTCGCGTAGTGAATGATTGTAACCGATTGTTCGGAGCCTATTTTTGATGCTGAGACAGAGGAACGTTTAAAACAATTGTTGGATTCTCACCTGAGTGCGCTGGGGTTCTGCTGCCTCTAGTACAGCTACGGTGGTCCTCTGCGGAACCTTGTTCCGCAAAGACCCACACCATCTCCGCAATGATGGGGAAGTGAAGGAGCTGACAAAGGATCTTCCTTTCGCTCTCTATCATCCAATGATCCGATGGATGAACTCCAAACGGCTACTCGCAGTCACGGATAGTAGCGTTATATTCCGTAACGTTATAGAATCTGCGGCTGCTCTCCCAGGGGAACTCACCTTGTATGACATCAAGGGGCTCAAACTGTGCGTCAGCAAGCTGATTCCACCTGGTTTCCCTGGTGTCACCGTCAGAAAGCTGACCAGTTTGGGGAAGGTCCCTATCGGTACGGCAAATCCGCGACCCCGACTACTTCGCGTAGTCTTTTCTACACCGGAGGAACGCAAATCATTACTGCGGTTTGCATTCAAACTTATGGGTAGTAGTGTCAGCGTTCAGCCAAATCTACCACTGGCAGATAGATTAATGTTGTATCAACAAGGACAACAACGGTACATCAGCCATTCGGACTGATGCTTCGCTGCCATACAACGATAATGACCTATAAAATAATAAGAGGGAGAGAAGGTGGACTTACTGGAAAACCTTAATGCCCTAAGCAAACATACAGGGTCAAGGCGCCTACACCTTGTGTAGACAACGTACCATCACAAACAGCTGGCTATCGTGCAAAGATAAGGTGGCATCGGCAAGGCAGCATCCGTGCGGCTTTCACTGCCCCGCGTCATAATCAGCCATTACCCCGCAGATAACTCAGCACCAAACACACTTTAAACAGGCAATCCGTCTAGGAGACGGCAGCAGAGGCGCTACTGGTGTCGGTTGCGAGCCATGTCCTGTAAAGTTTTGTTCTAAGCACAAGGCGAGTCACATGGACTCCATCCTGGAAGGCGAGAAGGACCAACAGCACCCAGTTTGTTCGTCATCGACTTCATTTCCCGCTGCCGTCAACTTCTGTCCACCTCGAGCTTTGCGCTATCCTACATTTGGCAGACTAAACAAGACTCTCCTATGTAAGCGGTGACCAGACATACGTAGCACGTGCCCGAGCCAACACAAATTATTCACTGCTATCTGTTGTTCTAGGAAGCTAGCATGATTATTACTACCTAGTACTCGTATAGCGGAATCGTTCGGTCGCTATATGTCAGGTTCCTCCCGCCTCAAGGAAAACTCGGGAAAAAACGGATGTATGGGCAAGATAGACGTTTATTGTTGAAACGCACAATCCCGCTAGCTGAAGGCACCGTAAAGTGGTTCTAGCTCGGGGAAAGGTATAGTCGCCAGCCGATATACAGCGAACGCTTTTCGTGCCGGAAAAGCCGGAAGCGTGCGAATGCGATTCGTTTGGATGACTCAAACACGTAGTCATCGTGCGAACAGGCAAGATTCCTAAGTTGTCTATGTACAGAATGATGTTATATTTTGATAATATTTTACAAACAGGATATTCTCTAGGTCACTACATAGCCCCTCTACTAGAAGGGAACCGTGGGTGACCCTTCGAACTACGTGCGGACTGTCCGTCGTGGGCTAGCCTTCTGCGAAACCAAGCGGTGAAACCTGATGCAACTTCTGGGGGAGAACCAGGTGATCGGGCCCTAGCGAGTTCCCACCTATGTCTCCCCTTAACTTGCTGATAAAATGAAAGGAGGGAGCACGTTCGTAGCATACGATCACTTGTGCTTGCCCACTGGTGATTGTTCTCCGGTTCGTACCATGAAAAGAAATAAAAAAACGGGTGGATCAGGCATGCAGAAGAGGCGACAGCAACAGACGGTAGAAGCACTTACCGAATAGGCAATGAAAAGTCAAGGAAACATCTCTTTTTATCGGTTTTCAAAACGTTTTCTCCGTTTTTTCTTTTGCTTTGCAAAAGATTTTGCGTTTTCAGAACATTGTGCGTTTTTTACGGTTTTCGGAGGGTCCTGACGCGAATATAAACCTGAAAACGCTGTTAGAAGCAAAAATGCTAAGCTAGCGTTCTTAGAAACGTGTCAGCCAGTGAACCCGACGACTAGACCTAGTAACTTTTTAAGTGTTAGCGGAGTCGAAGTGCTCAGGAGGCGGGTTTTCGGTTGTGGTGTTGCTGTCTGCACGCGTTTCCTCAAACATTAGTTGGGTCGATTCATCGGAGGACGAAGGACTGGAGTCATCGTCCGACTCTGGTTCGACGTAAGCAACTTTGAGGCGGTCGATTGAGACGGTTTCGCGCTTGCCATTGCGTTCGATGACGAAGAAACGATCCTTACGTTGAATGGACCTTCGTAAGGTCGTTCGAGTGGTCTGCGTAGACCATCAATGCGAATGAAGACAAACGAGCAGTGGTTAAGATCTTTGGGAACGTAAGACTTGCGATTCTGTTATCGTACTCCGCTCGATTTATTGTGGCGCATGCTCGTGGCTAGCTGCCGAGCTTTGTGCGCGTCGTAGCGTGGAGTGTTCAGGCTTTCAGAGAAGTCGCCTGATAATCGGAGTGGTTGTCCATAGACCCCTTCGGCGATGGACGTTCCGAAATCGGCTTTCAATGCTGATCGAATTCCGAGTAGTACCATGGACAGAACTTCTATCCAACTAAGTGCATTAGCGGCACTTAGCGAGCCTTTAAGCTGTCGGTGGAACCACTTCGCCATTCCGTTTGCTTGAGCATGGTATGCAGTTGTCCGGATGCGTTTACATCCGAGGACTTTGAGTAGGTTGTTAAAGGTCGACGATTCGAATTGTGGACCACGGTCGGTAGTAACAGTGACTGGACAGCCATGTGAGGCGACCCAGCGCTCGATCAATGCGCACCTTATGGTCTCAGCTGATACCTCGGGAGTTGGAACATCTTCAGGCCAACGAGTGGCGCAATCCACCATGGTCAGAATGTAGACCATGGCTTTGGGCGGCGGAAATGGTCCAACGGTGTCGAGGCGAACGTCAGCGAATCGAGTTGATAGTGACGGGAAGCGTCCTATCGAAGCGGCAACATCTCGATGAACGTTTGCTCGTTGGCAACTCAGACAGTTGCGTGCCCAAAGTCTGATGTCGCGCTGCATGTTGGGCCAGGCGTATCTGTCGGCAATTATCTTGATTGAAGTGCGGATGCCAGGATGCGCGATGTTGTGCAGCGTATCAAAGACTTTTCGGCGAAGGCAGTTGGTACCAGTGGACGTGGATGTGCGTTAGAGACGTTGCAGGTTATTGTACCTGTAGACGAAGGAAGCGGTCTAGGTGCCAACTTTAACGTGGACCCTTCGCAGGGTGACATTACGCCTTTCTAGGCTTGCTGAGCAGTGGCCATAGCTGACAGATCGAGCGACTGATCGGTCGGAGCCAGAGAGTTTACCCTTGTAAGCGTGTCCGCCACGATGTTCTCCTTGCCAGACACGTGTTGGACGTCCGTCGAAAACTGAGACACGAAATGTAGATGACGAACTTTACGCGGAGAGTGTCGGGGCGAAGGGTTGCGGAAGGCCTAGATGAATGGTTTGTGATCTGTAACGATCGTAAAATGATTACCTTCGAGAACGTGACGAAAATGACGAACGGCGGAGTATACCGCGAGTAACTCGCGGCCAAATGTGCTGTATTTCGACTCGGCTGTCTGAAGATGTCGAGAAAAGAATTCTGGTGATTGCCATTTACCTTAGAAAAACTGCTGTAGAACAGCGCCGATTGCGTTTTCCAAGGCGTCGACGGCTACACTGATTGGAGCGTTCTAGTCGAAGTGATGAAGCATGAAGGCGGAAGCGAGTGCTTCTTTGCTAGTTCGAATACTTTGCGTGTTTCAGGTGTAAGATCAACTTTACCGTTGTTGCGTCCACGAAGATCGGTGAGTGGTTGATTAAGCTCGGCGATACTAGTTGGCCATGCCGTTGAGGCGTCGAATGGCTGCTAGAGTCGTTGGATGAGGAAAGTCGCGAATTGCCTAGACTCTGTCCTTCAAAGGGCGGATACGCTCGGAATCAAGTTGGTGCCTGAGGAAGTCAATGCGCGGCTGCATGAAAATGCACTTTTTGGGGTTAACGGTAACATTGTGCGCCTTCCTCCGTTCGAACAATAGTCGTAGATGTGTTCGGTGTTCCTCTTTCGAAGGACTGGCTACCGGCATGTCGTCGATGTACGGGTGGACGAAGTCAAGTCCACGTACAACTGAGTCGATGAAGCGTTGAAATGTCTGAGCGGCGTTGCGCAGACCGAATGGCATTTGTAGAATCACGTATAGTCCAAATGGGGTAATAATGGCGCTTTTCGGTATGTCCTCGTCGACGACCGGGATCTAATGATAAGCTCGCACCAGATCGCTCTTTGAGAACACGCGAGCGCCATGAAGACTGCCTGTAATATTCTGTATGTGAGGGATAGGATAACCATCCGAAATTGTCACGTTGTTGAGGGCGCGGTAATCGCCACATGGTCGCCAGTCTTCTGACTTTTTCTGGACCATGTAAAGGGGCGAAGACCAAGGGCTGCTGGATGGTCGGACGATCCCAAGTTTGAGCATGTGTTCGAATTCCACACGGGCGGTTCTGAGCTTGTCCGGAATCAGTCTACGGGCTGTGGCGGAGACGGGCGGACGCTTGGTAACTGTGTTGCGGCGTAGCTGCGGCTGCAGTTGATAGAAACGATGAAGGTCGGTAGACTCTAGGGAAACTCTCAAGTAAGACGTTGCCGGCCGGCGAGTTGACAGTGGCGTACACCGAATTGAACGATGCTACATCGCTGAATATTCCTGCGACGGCAAGTTTCGCTGTCTGATCGATAAAACGATGTCGTTTAGCATCGACGTGTAAGTCGAAGTGCCGAAGAAAATCCATCCAGCTAATAGGATTTTGGACGTCAGTGACAAAGAATAGCCATCGAAAAGAGCGTCGCAGGCCGAGGTTAAGCGTGCGCTTGCGCTGACCGTAGACGCGGATGCTGGTACCGTTGGCTGCGCTTAGCGGACTGGTCACCTTTCCGGTTGCGTTGTTGGGATCACGTGGAAGGACGCTGATTTCTGTGCCAGTGTCGAGGAGATAGCGAACTCCCGTTTGTCGATCGATGACGAAGAATAGGCGACTGTGTTGACCAGCTACGTCAGTCGGCCCGTTTCCCTGCGGGTTTCGTTTGAAGGAACACAGTGGGCGTCACGACTTAGCCTACGGACCGAATCGTTGAGGGTACCAGCAGTAGGAAGACATTCAACGCGGTGATTGCGACGGTGATTTTAACTGAGATGGATTTTGACGATTTGAGGATGGACATCGGCAGCTACTCCCAGAAGTTGTGAAATTGTTAAACTTCTTGGTTAGTGCGGCAATTTGTGCTTTCATCTCGGCAATATCGTCTTTCGGCGTAGATCTAACTTGCGAAAGCTGGCCGTAGGATTCCCAAATTTGGTCTGCGATATCGGCCATCAGCGTCAGGGATGCGTCGGCATTTGCGTAGAGGATATTGCCCATTTTACGTGGCAATCTACGTAGCCGCATTTCCTTGAGTAATGTGTCGTCCACTATGTCGGGTTTGACTAAACATTGCATCTTTCGCAATAGCTGTGATGGCTTGAGGTCCCCCAACTTCGTTTCGCTCAGAAGCTTCGTG